GGACCGTAGATCAAGTGATCTACGGTCCGGATCGGGCGCCGCACACATATGGAATAATTTTTCCTAAGCTTCAAAGATTTCGAAGTTTCATTTGATAGCGCCTAAAAAAATTGCAGAAATGCCAATTTTTGGCACTCTGTAGCTTGATTCTTAGCATGTAAACAACTCAAATGATTTCGAGACTATAATGGCTCCGGTTAAAGCTAGTATTGAATCCTCTTAACACAAATAATCATTTCAAATGCAAATTATATCTTTGGCTAAGACTTTTGAATCCTATTGCTTCATACTTTAATTGCAATGAAAAATAAACAAACCATGTTTATGATGTGTGAGATGAGCTCTATCTATTTTGAACTGCCTGGAAATAGAGTTCTCCTTGAACTAAAATAAGGTAAATAGTACTCGTATAACAAGTAAATAGGGTTATAAGTGAACCGAGCCGGCTGACAAGGCAACTCGAGCTCAACTCGTTCAAGAGTTCGTAAGTTGAGTTTATGCAGCCACGAGCTCGAGCTCGAGCTCGAGTTCAAGCATGTCTAAGCTTGGCTCATCAACTCACAAACCGGATCAACTAGCTGATTGATGGACACGTTGATGCCTTCTCTAGCGAGCTGATGCAACACTCCAATAACTGATACTTTCTTCAGTGATCTCCCATGATAATTTAATTTTCAGCTAGAGCACGAGCCTGCAGCATCATTGCAGGTTGATGCTCTCAAGCTCAAGCTTGCACTGACAAGCGAGCCGAGCTCGAGTTAGGCATGACTCAAGCACAGCCAACTCATTTACATCCCCCTATGCATACGCATACACCCACCCAATTTACAGCTAAGGTCAGGCATCAACATATTTGGTAAATTATCCATGGATTTTTCAAGGGAAAAAAACTCATTTCTAAGCTTTATAAGATGTACATTAATGGCGCCCAATTCGTATATCTCTAGTTCATATACAAAGCCAACAAAAAATTCTAAAATATATTACCTCTTTGGCCATATGCTTCACTTCCGCAGAGCAAACCACCAATTTGCAGTCAAGTATTTCATAGCAAAATTCCAGCAACTTGGTGCACATAGAACTGCCAATCCCAAAATAACAAGTTATCAGTTAAATAGCCATAACACAAACCCCCAACATTTAAAATAAAATAGAAATAATGTAAAGAAGAGGAAGACATAACTATGGAATAAAAACACAATCATCAAGAAGACAACATATAGAATTCAACCAAATAATACTATGCTCTTATATGAATTTTTTTTCAATGTTCAATTTTTATGAATTTACATATGTAACACCAAAATTTGCATTTAAATTTACACCAACCGAATCTTTCATATCACATGAAAAATACCACCATTTTAACTTTTAAAAGGTGAAGTGCACCTATTCATGCATAGGTAAAGTGGTATGTATGTAAAACTTGCATTTTATGTGTTACATATGTAAATACATAGGAATTGAGTGGTATGTATGCAAATCTTCAATGATTATACACTGAAATAATGGCAACAATGCTTACCTTAGCATTAGATGAACCACACCCTCCATTTGAAGACTGAAAACGAGACATCTAAAAAAATAAAAATAAAAAAAAAGAAGCAATCAAATATCCGTAGAAAACTTCTCGGGCAAAATGTGGAATAAAAAGCATTGCACAGCCACAATAAAGTCACTTACTTTCTATCTAATTGCATCCGAAATGATGAACTCACAAGAAAGTTAGCAAACTCGATCTCTGCTCCTACAAAAAATTGCTTTTTTAACCTCCCCTTCATCCACTGCCCTCACGTATTACTTGTTAGAGGAAACTCGACTATAGTACTCAGTAAAGTCCAAACGAAACAATAAGAACTTCAAATCTATATGTTGTTGCATGGGCAGTTGAGAAATAAAAGCATTCAGTGCTGCTGAATACTCTTTTGCAACAGTGTCCAATTCTTCACTCATTTTCAAGAAAAAATCCCGAGCAAGTTGAATAATAGTTTTCCTGCCGCCATCTATCAATGAGCCCACCTTCCCTAACTCACCCTTTGATTTTAACCTGGGCTTGTTCCTCCTATAAAACAATCAGAAAAAAACATTATTTGATAAACTGAGATTAAAAGCGAATGAAAGCAGCTTTCAAAACAAAAGAGCTTTCAAAAGACCTTCATCAAGGAATCAAAGATTACCTAAGCTGCAACTCATATATACGCTCAAACCAACGGTCGAAAAGACTACGGAAGCGCAGTATATGATCAAATAGCACAAAAAGGGTTCTAATGATACCCTGAGATCTCTCTCCAAGAAGAGATTTTTCCACAATGGAGTCGAGGTACTTGTCGTGTGCAGCCAGAAGATCATCCAGGTCTTTTGAAGAATCCATTCCTTCAGAGAAATGAACCCAGGATATCTCCAGAACCTCAAACATAATATAATACTGAAAATTCGTCACAAAATGATTCATCTCGTTCCAGAGAACTTGGCATCTTCGTAGTACTGAAACAAACTGCAACTTGACCCCAAAATTTTCATCGGAAAAAATGCAGGAGTTTATGTAATTGGGTTTCATCGTCTTCCACAAACCAGTCAATGCATGCTCGACACGCTTAAGCTTCCAGAGGAAATTGAAGATCTTGAGATACCTTTTCATGTTTAATGCTGTAAATACAGTATCCAATGGAACCCGAGCATCATATTCCAATGAGAAAACATCCCAACCTCTGTTTCCATCTCCATGATCCATCATCCTGACTTTAAGCCGATCAAGAATCTCACGATCATCATACTGAGCAATGGATGCACGGATTGCGGTCTCCAACAATCCTGCTAGCTGGAAGGAGCTGATGGTGTTTGCTGGCTCTGACAGTTCTGGACCAACGATATCCATCAAATACTGCACAAAATCTCCCTGCCCTAGTAAAAGATACCTCTTGATGGCAAGGCAATGATCCTTAAATCTATATCTTTTATGGATCACATCCATTAAATGGCGATCGATTCGCTTGGCTGCTTCAACCGCCAATGCCTCAAGGGCATCAGTCTCACCATAGCCAAGCCCACCCCTTCTGGTTGTAGCTCCAACATGTGCAGCGGCCTCAGCGGCAGCTTCAGCCCACCCACGATCTTCACAGCAAACACGGAGAAAATTAATTGATTTGCCCGTCCTCAGAATCCTTTGAGCCAGCAATGGCGAGATGAAAGCAGGAAGCATAGATGACTGGATCTGATAGCCTTCTCTCCAAAGAGATTCAGCCTTCACAGGTTGACTCGATATAAAAAACTCAGCAAACACGTCTTCCAACTCTCCCTCCAATACCCAAGTCCTCACCATTTCAAAAAGAGGAGAGCATACTCTCCTCAGCAACCGACCCATGAATTCTTGAACCAGAGGGTCTCCATGCCGAGCGTGAACGTGAATAGCTCCCGCCATGGCTCCACCCCTTAGTTTATGGCAGCTATCCACCAGCATAGCCATTAGTCGCATCCTCACCGTCGCAAGCCAAACAGCAAGCCGCCGCAAAGAGAGGTAGTTCCCCGTGCCACCAGAATCAGATCCAGCTGAAGGGATGGGATTAGCAGACTGCGATTCTAGCACTGCAAGAAGCTTATAGTAATCCGAAAGTTCGTCTTGAAGAGCAGAACAAAAGGCTTGCCCAACCGTACCAACCTCAAACTGCTCATCCATAACGTTCTCCGAAATATAACCCCTTACCTTCCGGAATAGCCATCCAAGCTCACAGAGTCGGCGGACGATAGATCTAGTAGGTCTCGGGATCTTCAGCGACTCCGGCAGATCATATCCATCCCAAGACCTATCGAAGCGAACGTATCTGCCATCAATTCCCTGGCAAGCATAGAGGACGTCTCGCACCAACGCCGACTCGGTGACCTCATTGTCTTCCATTATCAGATCCGCATACTCACGAAGCGCGATCTCGCGGATGTTCTCAGGATCCTTGGCGACGAGAAGTACGCCTCCGCTAACAGCGCTACCTGCGATGGATCCGCCTACAGGGCGGGCAGTATGAGAGGGCTGAAAAGGGAGGAAGGGAAGCCCGACAGAGGAAGAAGAAACGGGCCGGCGCCGATCAAGTGAAAGAGAGTTGAGGAGATAGAGAAGAGCCCAGCGATTAAGAAGAGGTGCACGGGTGGAGAGCTTGGAGTGGAGGGGGGGGGGAGGGAGCGGTGG